TGTCCAGTGCTTCTCAGGTGAATTCTCTGATTTCCTGGTAAATTTAGTACTGGAATAGTAATGGTAAATGGCCTGTAGTTATGTAGCGCTCTTTCAAGTCAGAGGACTTGACCAGAGCACTTTACACTACATTCAGCCATTCACCCATTCAGGCACACACTGATGGTGGCAAACTACATTGTTGATTCCCACATGAAAAAAAAAAAGTCTTCATCTTCAGCTATTTACCCTAAAAACACATGAAGGTGTGCATGAATAATCAGACCTGCCTGCATTTTAAAAAGTTACCCCCGCAGCATGACGCTACCACAACCATGTTTCACTGCAAGTTCTCCTTTGGATGTGCAGTGCTTTTTGGCCAAACATTCATCAGACGAAATCCCCTTCAGACACACTGGATTAGGAGCTTTTCTTGAATGCCTGGATGTTTTTTTTTTATTATTAAGCATCAGTGGTACATTATAGAATTTCCATACAAGAGGCATGATACTCATATTTATATTTTAACCCCACCATCCCAAGAACCGTTTGGACACCAATCTAGCAGGAGTAGATAGTTAAAAGTAGTACAAAAATAGACAATAGCTAAAATAAATAAATAAATATGCCTGGATGTTTTTATTTTGAAGAAAATACTTTTGTTTTACATTCCTACTAGTAAGTCGGGAAAAGCTTGGGAAGAAATATATCCATATTAGCTGGAGGAGCCATCTCCAGTACTTGCCTTTCAGTGTGTCTTTTTTTTTATCAGTTGTCCTCTAGCCTGAAGACATTTATTGTTGAATGCTGACTTGACATTGAAAATCAGCATCATGCCAAAGTGGGGAAAATATAAAAACATATACAAAAGGACAGATGATCTGGAGCTAAAATAGTGGATTACTCCCGACCCAGAGGATTACTCCAAAGTTACAAGTATTGTAAAAAATAAAGACATCTGAAAAAAAATTCACGATTTGCCCCAAATCAAAATAGGTCAAAGTTCTTTATCTAAGGAAAGACAATTAATGAAAAAGGATTATTAGGATTATTCTTATGTGTGACTGACTTCAATGAATGCTTAGCTGATCAACTTGACAAATGTCTTATGGGTGGACAGAAATGTTAGATTGACACACTGTGCATGTCAAATTATAAAAAGTACATTTATATTTGCATTTCCTGCTGTTGGTCAGACAGCATGATAGAGCATGCTGTCTGACCAAGAGCATGATAGACCATCTTATATAATAGAGAGCCTGGCTAATGAACCCAAACTCTTTTATAAGTGCAGGTTTGTTTTGTGACATGTTCTTTGTCATGTATGGATTTGTTTTTTTTTTTACCTGTTTCAAAAGGCAAGTTTATTTTAAGGCAGGCAGGTTTTATGTTGTTTTTTGGCTGGAATCAGTCAAATGTGGCTGCTGTGATCACTGTTGGCATGCTATGCATCTGCACGAACACGTAGTAATGCCAATACAGATATTAGTAAAACTGCATCTGTTGACGATGAAAACCACAAACATCTGTGGTTTCCTCAAATTCTAAAGTAGAGTTAAAGCTTCCTGTCAATGACGATAGCATCATTTAACATTTAAATGTTCGAAGGGTCATTTCAGTTCTCAGAAATGAAAACTTGCCTAAATTAAAAACCTTGATTTCTAGGTATCTGATTATACAATCCTAGTTTCTAAGCGAGAACATCTTAGAAGCTGTTTTGCTACATATACAATTAGAGAACTTTAAAATGCATTACAGACTATTTGAAGAATTGTTTTCCAGACTACGATTTTGCGGGAAATTCATTGTTTGGGATGCTCTAAACTTTCTTTGATAGTCGATTTCAAAGATTTAGAGGCAACAGAAATAGTTAGAAACTGAAAATATGAGGCAAAAAATGGTGGAAAATCTAACAAAAAGGATTAGCTTGATGCAGTAGCTCTTCTTCGTGACAATGTTAGGGTTAAAAATACCTCTCAGAAGTTATTTATTACATTCTATATTTCCTTCTACTTTGAAGTAACATTCAACATAATTGGGAAAGTTTCCCTGAAGTTGATCTCAGTAGAAACTAACAAAGGGAAAATAAAATCTTATTCTTAATCCTAAATAACTTATCAGACACTATGAATGTGCAAATGTTTTTATAGAGATCAAAATTACACTCTCTTTTCTTTAAAAATTATTACATACATACAGGTTAAGCATAATGTGGTCTAACAAAAAAACAAAAACAAGTTTCACTCAATATCCACAAACATGTTAAAGCTTTATTCATTTTCATTTGCATACAATGTTTTTTGGTGATATGTGAATTTTATTTACCCAAGAAATGTTGATAAAACAACTAAAGCTAACGAGACAATAAATATTGCCATTTTTTTTCCCCAGGCTCTTCAATAACATCAGTGGGCATGCAGGAAAACAGGAAAGCTAAAAGGCACAGTCAGGCAACAGTTACAGAGAAACATCAAGAAAAGACAAAAATCCTTAAAGCGACTTAGCTCTCTCTGTTTTTTTTTTATATTCCTTAAAAAGATAAGAACAAAACAAAAATTCTGCAGGAACAGAGAGGGCTTATTTTTCTATAAACACTCTGCTTTATGCTTCAAAGGAAATTCACTTTTAGGTGAATTTAAAACCTGCTAAAGCATTAATTAACTAGGGATCTAGAAAAATATCAAAGCGCTGCTTTGGTACTTCAGTTTCAATGCTGATATGCCAAATAAAAAAATAAAATAAAAAAGCACCAAAACTAAAGTTTCAAAGAAGTACATTAAAGCTAAAACTCCCAGACAAATACAAGAGAATACTGAAATGTTCTGGTGCTTTCCGGTGCTGGTTGATAAAACAATTATAGGACCTTGACTGAGGGGGCTGTGGGAACAGCTTAATAATAATAAAAAACAAAAAATAAGAAAAAGCCTATATCCTAAAGATATATAAAGCTGCAAAATAAAAATAGCAAACACTGTATTTGCCGTAAATCTCTGGATTTCCATAATCAGAAACATCATATTCTGTTAACCAAACGTTAGTTTCTTGCTTGTGCAAGTTTTGACTCTACATTACACACATATGATGCAATAGATGTTCAGGAAACGATTGTAAAAACAGGGGTTAGCAGGTTATTTGACAGAGTAACCCTGGGTTCACACAGATTCTGCATTTGTTCTCTGCTGCAAACAGAAGCCAATCTAGTGGACGCTGCATCTCCCACTGGCTCCTTGGTACTGCAGCAAAAAGGAGGGCCTTCATATTGCAACCATCAAAGATGGGGATCTTTAGATTTTGTTGTTGTTGCTGGCAGAGGGAGGTGAAAGAAAAACACTGAAAATAACGACGAGCCAGACAGGAAGTCTGACAGGGAAGAAGTAAAACAGATTGGGTAAAACTTAAAGAAGAGCGGAGCGGTCCGGATGCATTAACTGTTCCTACATCCATCCAGAGTGGATTACTGCATGGCACAATTTAAGAGGCAGCCACAGAACATGATACTGTATGTGTGAACCCAGGGCTGGGTGGGTTATTAGACACTGAAATAGTGTTATTAATCACTAAATATTTACCTTCAGAATGGTTTCATCATCAATATGTAAACCACTTACAGTCAGTGCTGGTTTTTCATGAAACACTGGTATAAACCATTTCACTGAAAGACATTTATACGAACCATAATCCATCCCAAGAACTCAGTTCTTGTTTGGTTTGTAAAGTAAACAAGATTATCCCATCATGGCTTTCTTCCTTTAAACAGGGATTTACATATGTTTAATAAAACACTAAATATTTCATTTTACATTTAGATTCTTACTGAGAACACATTTTAGGCACACTGCGGTGTTTTCCTAGCATGGACGGCTTCACAGTGAGAGATGCACACTGCAATACTAACCAGGCAGCCTGTTTGCCCACATGTATGAAGGGTCAGATGTGTCTGCTGGACGCTGCAGGGAGGACAAATCTGTATTTCATGTTCTTAATGTTTTCTTTGTGACTTTTACAGACCCGGAACAACGTGACACTTTGTACCTCAATGGAGCCGAGCTCTGACGAAAACATGGTGTCACGGGAAGGGTAAACAGCAGATATAAAACTGCTTTTGTTACAGCTTCAGCGACTATGGGGGCTGTCAAAAGAGACATTGTGAAGTTTTCAGAAAACACAAAGGTGTCAAAACGACTAACATTCAAAGTGTTGTGGAGACATTCGCCCATGTTCTCCCCCAAGCGCGTCTCTAGTCTTTCCTGTAAATGATTCTTCCTTTTTCTAATACATTCATTTGACATAACCCTGCCAGCCTTGCTTTGCCAGGGTAAAAAAGTGCAAAACAACAACATACCAACCATCAATTGCTTTGCTTTCTTTCAGATTTGCTGCTGTCACTCAGAGAAAACAAATCTCCAATAGAATTGCAAGTTTTTTCCACTGTGTGGAACGCTCCATCTGAACCTATTCACACATTCTCAACCAACAAAGCATTTCCTGACTAACTGTTTAGCCCATGATCATCTCAGTAAATAGATTTACAATATATCAATGTCTATATTTCATTTAACTGTAATCTTGTTATGAGTGAGGAGGCCTCTACCTATTCTACAAGAACAGAGACATTTTCTGTCTTTCTGGGCCTCACTTTGAGAGTTCTTGCAGTCTGGGTTTGAAACATCACATTGGTTTTGGTGTGGAGCTAAATAACCATTAAAAACATTTTCTGCAGAGAGGTGGACCTATGCAGACTTTCTAAGAATGATGCAGTTGAGTCTTTAAGAATGAAATGCCAAATAGAGCAGAGAAAGCTGTTGCTTTTTGTTTACCTGAAATTGCAAAAAAATATATTAATGCCTTTAGTTATGTTTTTTTGTTACTCTTATCTTCATGGGCTTCAAACATTTGAAAGAACTTACTTAAATATCCCTGTACTCTCCCTGAACTTCACATTCTGCCATATTCTAACACCTTACTATATCTTACTGGGACTTTACGGAGCAGACCAACAGAAAGTAAATCATTTTTCTTAATTAATTATGTTTCTTTCCACTTTCACAAAGAAACACCAGTTTGTGATGTTTTATCACATAAAAAACTGAATTAAACACTTTAAGGTTTGTGGTGGTAATGTGACGGAAGGTGAAAAAGGTTGTGAGACTTTTTGTGTGGCGCATATTTCAACTAAAGTGTGGGGAGGGCGGCACTGTTATGACCAGCATGAATAGGAGAACTGTCGATTTTATGTTGAAGAGAAGCTGTTAGAGGGATCTGAAAAGTCACCACTTCTACTGAGTAACATCACTGACTGAGCTAAATGATGGTCACAGCTGCAGGGACGATACCAGCAAACACAAGCTGAGACTCTTTAAGGTTCAATTCTAACTTAGACGAAAATCTTTAGTCTGGGTTCCTTTCTGTCATTTCATACCTTTACCCTAAAATCTGCTTCATGTACCAGGTATCACCGGGAGGTTAACAATGACATTTTTAATTTTGTGAAATGGGCAAAAGTTGTGTTTGGAGTCCAACATAAAAGGAAGGAGTGGCTGTGAGGAGGAGTTGTGCAGGGTGTGGGACGTCTGCGTGCAGCTCGGGGCTTAGCAGCCCTGTGTGACGCCCTGCATGTGTTTGGCGATGCCGTACACGTAGGCGATGTCCGGCCTCTTCTCTGGGTCGGGGTTGATGCACATATCTACCAGGTTCCTCAGCTGAAAAAAAACAAACAAAAAAAAAAACACATAATGATTGAGATGTAAAATTTTTACAGTTAATGTTGCTTTACTTAAAATATTGTGATGAAAAAAAGGACATCCTGCAGGTTGTTCAAACACGGCAATAACAAACTAACAAAAGCAGAAGCCATAGGTGAACTGAATGGGTTTCAGTGAGACCACACACCCCGGTGCCCGCCGGGGACACCAGGTCCACCCAAGACCAGAAGCAGCAACTGATTGGTGCTAAATGAAGATAAAAAAAACAACAAAACAAACACATCTACAGAAGGTCGCTATGGTAACCATGTGTCGACTTCCTGGTTGCTGTTGCATGATAGTTGTGCGTGTGTGTGTGTGTGTGTGTGTGTGTGTGTGTGTGTGGCGGGGGGTAGAAAAGTGAGAGAAAGATGCAAATTCAGACGGTCTGAGAATTAGTCGCACGGAGTGGAGACGGAGGGCGTGCAGAGAGGCAGATATGTAAAATATTCATGCGCTTCTTTGCATGGTGAGTGTGTGTGTGTGGGGGGGGGAGTGCCAGGTGGAGGGTGTGTGGGGGAGCTAGCAAAGGAAGGGGGTGGCGGCGAGGAGGGGAAGCGTAGACGGAGATGGTTAAATGACACAACAAAGATGAGCAGCTGACAGTTTGCTGCCGATCCTTCAGGAGCATTGTTTACATCCAGACAGGCGCTGCAGGCACCCCCCTCATCTCCATCTCTCCATCGCCCTGTCTCTCGCTCTATCATTCCCGCTCTCTTTCGCTTTGTCTTCCTTTCTCCTGGATGGGGGTGACATGTGGGGTAGCGCTGAAGCTCAGCGTGGTGTGTGAGTGTGTTTGAGTGCAGTAAGAGCTGCTCCTACAAATATACACTTACACATTTTTTTGCAAACACAAAAACACACATGACGCCCCAAAGTCTTAAATTACCTCAATGATAGCTCCTATTAGCCTAATGAAGTAATTATTGAGGTATGATAAATACAATCAAAGTAATAATAAGCATAATAAAAAATAATTTTCAACAGGGTTTATTATCCGGCTACAGGAACATAAGTAAGAACAGGAAATGCTTTAATCTAACAGGAAACTTTTTTTGGTTCTCTGGCCATCAGTGCTGTGATAACACATTTAAAAAATATATATATTATTACAATATCAGCTGTTTTAGGCTGTGCAGTGAGTGTGTTACTTTATTTGGAAGGCCAAACAGAGGCTGCATCTTTTCAAACGTCTGAGGTTTCAAGCTTCCTCCGGAGCTGATCTGGTCCAGTTCTACGTCTACCATTCAGAGAATCTCTGCAGAGAAGGTGATTGGCTACAATCTTTCATCTCTCCAGGATCTTTACGCCTCCAGGACTCTGCGGCGTGCAGGGAAGATTGTAGCTGATCCCTCGCACCCCAGCCACAAACTATTTCAGACACTTCCCTCTGGCAGAAGGCTACGGTCCATCAGGACCTAAACCGTGAGAACGTTCCGCTACCAGCCTTATCAACAAAGCCCAGAGATCCCTGTGACACTGATACTGCCTCTCTCGCTCTCTCCCCCAGGACCTAGAAGCTAAACCAATGTAGCATCTCCAGACCTCCTGCGTTACATCAACGCACAGTCTACTGGGTATATAGTACATGTATACTATATATTGCATATAGTATATTGTATCAGGGCTCGATGTTAACCATTGCCCGGGGCAAGTCGTTTTTATTGTCGGGATAGTACAAATTTCATTGCATTTGCCCGCCGGGCAAGTGCAATGATCGCAAAAAAAATGTATTTATCACTCAAAATTACTTTAAAATCATCGACATTCGCTGAAAACGACCCACGTTGTCGGCGCCATTTTTGTTGTTTTGTACACATTCTCGCCTGATTTGAAAAAGCCGCGTGATTTTCCGCTAGATGGCGTCATTCAGCTCTTGGGGAGAGAATTCTGCAGAGCAGCAGCTCGCTAGATTAAAAATAATCAGCCAGGGATTAGAAAAATAATAATAATTGTATGATCACTGTGTAAATATATCTATCATATGGCAGTCTTCTGCAAAGGTTATGCATTAAAATGTTAATTAAAACGTTTTTTCTTAGACATTGGAGTGGTGCATTTAAATGTTAGAGCGCTAAACATGTTAAATTGGTGAGTAGTAGTAGTTTAAGTTTTTAACCTGTCAAGTTTTTTTTTTTTTTTTTTTACATGACAATTTATATTTTTCCAAGCACACAACAGTTTAAAGCAAAGTTTAGTTTGAAAAGAATGTGCAGGAAGGATGGAAAAGCATGTTAACACGGTAATGTAAGCTTGAGTTTATCATCTGACGCATGCATATACACACCAGGAACATTTAAACTTACTGAATTACAAAAAAACATTTAAAAACAAACATGTTTCATTGATATATATACAAAAAAGAATATTAGGAACTATATTTATCAAACATTATACTGGGCAAGTAAAAATTATTTCTGGGCAAATGAAATGTGAAAGCCACTTGCCCTTAACGTCAACCCCTGTGTATGGTTTATATTGTATATAAATACAGATCCTAACTACAGATTTTTTCTGCACCATCAACAACAAGGGAAATTCCTTGTAATTGCAAAACTAATTGGCAATAAGCTTGATTCTCATCACCATCTAGTCCGAACCAGACGTCCACAAAAGGACACAAAACAACTGCTCCCTCTATTCTGCAGGACAGTTATGCAGCCCAAGGGTCAGGAAGATACTACGAATCACTTCTTCACCAAGCCCTCCCTAGTTGGTACTGTATAAATTCTGATTTGAAATAACATCAATGTTTTGGAGTAGCTCAGCAAGTCCTAACATAAAAAAAAAAAAAAAGGGAAAGTGGAGTGAGCTAAGGACTAGCTGTAGGCATAGAGGACTATTATATCTTAAAGACTAGGAGCTTATAGCTAATGACAGATAACCAAAACATCCCAGTTAAAAAAAAAAAAAATATCAGTAGCTGTTGGAAGGGTACAGTTACTTTAATCTTATGTTTCTAAACAAATGGCGTAACGGTCATTAAACAAAAAATTATTAATTATATTTTTTGAAGGAAATGCTTTTTATACTGTGCAAAAACATACATTTGACAAAGAAAACACATTTTAATTGAAATAAAAACAAATCATTTAAGAGTTTCAATGTAAAATACAGAAGAATGAAAAGTAAAATCTACTAAATAAATGAATCTTACACCTTTTTGTAATATATCAGGTTTAAAAGGTAGATTTCTCATTAGCCTACGCAAAACTGATGCTCATTCAGATAAAGGTGAAAGAGACACCGATAAATTGCAGACTGCTTTAACAAGCAGATATGAAACCACTTCTCTCTGTTTCCTTCCATCTAGCATCCAATCTTTTGTTGTTTGTTAATAAGCCAAATATAATAAATCTGATTGAATCTAACTACTTTAGTGGTTTTAGTTGTTGGTGACAAGACAATTTAAAAAGAAAGGTTTGGTGTTATTCTTTCTACTTTCTTTACTTGTCAGAAGAATGCACTTTTATAATCAACAAAACACACATGATTTCTTTATTTCAGTTGACAATTAATAATAGTGACACCAGAATTGATTAAAAAATAAATAAATCTCGCATTTATAGATAAACCATTAACACAACATTCATTTTAATATTTTGCATGGATTTCATAAAAGAGAACCCAGTAATACAAAAATATTTCTCTGCTTTATTTTAATTGAGGATTAAATATTAACAGAAGATTTTTTTTTCTCTTTTTGACCTTAGTTGTTTAGTTTTGATTGTTTTCTTTGCTTCAAAGCTTTAAAATATGAAGCTACCAAGTCTACAATAAAGAAAACTAAGTATTTTCATTTATTTAGAGAAAAATCGACAATTGGACTTAAGATGGATTTGGAACAGTTGAAAATAAGTTTATCGTACTAACATTTCAGCAATCAAGCCAATCTTGATTGCTGAAAAAGATCTGTAAAAGCCTTATCCCCCATACGTCTGTGGATATGTCTTGTCCGTGTTGCTAACTGCTTTTACTGCAGAATCAATTGTCTAGAAACATTTGGAAGAAAAAGAGCTTCCACCCACATGCGGATGACATGCTAACAAAAAGCCAGAAAGATTCTCATGCTTGTCATTGGTAATCAGCAAAAGAGCAAAACCTAACCAGAAGTCTGACTACGTTTCATTTTTATGCACGAGGAAGTCTTCCTAAATTAAGTCGATGATTAAACAATGATTTTTGAGTAACTCTAGCCCACTCTCCTATAAAGCATGACCATGTGTTTTTGATATATGAATCTAATTTCTAAATGAATAAAATCCCTGCCAGCCTTTTGATCAATATGCACTGTGCACTGGCTCAGACAGATGGGTGGATTTTACCAGAGTAAAAAAAAAAAAAAAGGAAGAAAAAGAAGTGAAAAAGGTCAGTAAAGCATTACTCATGCTTAATTTCAACTTTTAGGAAACCATTTTTATGAACTCCTTTAAAAACACAGAACAGGTCTGTGTCTTTTTCATGACACATCAGAAAAAGGCAGCAGATGACAAAAGCAGTACTTACCTCTTCTGAGTAGTGATCTGCAGGAAGAGGGGGGTAGTCGCACTGTTCTATCTTCTTGCAAAGCGAGTAGAGATTCATCTTATCCCCGTAGAAGGGACTCTGTAAGGCTGCCATCTAAAGCACAGAGATGTAAAGAAATAGAGAGGAGACATATAGAGAGAAAGGGGATAGAGACAAGAGGAGAGTCAGCGAGACTACAAAGACAAAAGGGAAGTAAAACACTCCAAACTCTCAACAGGTGGTACATGCTGCTTCTTGCGAATCAGTCTCTGCACAGCTAAATGCTCTTGAGCCATGAAGCTTATAGGATGGTTTAAAAGGGAAAGACAAAAAGTTTGTACACAGCAGATCAATGCGCCGTTAATTTTCATGAGCGGAAAAACAAACAAACAAAAAATAAAATCCCTCAAAGTGATCCCTAACAGATGCTTCCATCTTGTTGATTAGAAAGAAGTGAAATAATAGGTGATTTGTAGCTCAAAAACTTTTGGTTAAAAGGTGAAAAAGAAGTATATTGCAGTTTCCTGGAGCAGGAGATGCCAGCACCTTCTAGATTTAAACACGATGAGACCAAGAGGGCCAGTGCTACAGAAAGAATCAATAGGTCTGCTGAAGAAGTCTTTTTATAGAGTCCCACACACGTTTCCAATTAAAGTAAAGAATAAATGCTTTTGGTTCACATATGGGGCTAAAACATACCCTTCTTTTTGTATAATGTTGTCTATGAAAATGACATTTTGTTTATGACCAACCTACTTAACTCACCAAGAAATACATTCAAGGATACTTTTGTAACAACTGATTAAATGTAAATAATGAACTTCATAGTTAATCATTTATCCAGCAACATGAAACAAAAAAACACTAAGAAAGTCTCCTTGAAAAGAAATGTTGCTTCTGGCTACACCTACTGGTTGAGTAATGAAACAACTTTAGTGTAGATTCTTAACGACAATTAGATCTTCTCAATCTGCCTGAATCACCGTAGTTCTGCTTTAGAAAAAGAAACTTCACATAAACATCAGGGGCACAGATCAGTAGCTACTGCAGTCACCGCAGGTCTTTGTGATGTTGATTTTATGCCTATTACTCCTTCAATAATGTTCAATTTGTAATATTATGTAGCAATGCTTTCTGACCAATGTTAAAACAGGATTCAGGCCATTGAACAAACAGCCATTATTCACTGAATCTGCATTTCTTTTGCCGTTGCTTCTACTGACGGGCTGCTTATCCTGCAGAACTGTCGAGATCTAAATTTAGTTTAAAATATCAATCTGAAATCAACCTTGATTGCTCCAGAACCTTTGGATAAAATCACAAGGAAAATGAGGTGCCAAACCTGCAAAGTGAGGCTTTAGAAAAAAAAAAAATATATATGAGAGAAACTTCACAGGTTTAGCAGTAGACAGAGGGAGTTTTTACACAATGTTTTCTCAACTATTTTTCAGCTGTCCTTGTATTGTTTTGGAGACAAAAGTAAGTGTTTGACGGGCTGCTAATTGGGAGTGTGAAAGCTTATGAAGAGGAAATTTTCACATGTGAATCAAAATGGAGTCCTTCCATGGAGAATACATCAGCTCGGCGTGAAGGTGCCATATTATAAAATGTTTGGCACCAAAGAGAGAAAAGATTTGGGAGAGTTAGAAATAAGACAAAAGGGGGGCTGCAAGAAAGATGATACACTTATAGAATTACCTGGATAATAAACGTAGACATTTTTAACCGCAATCACTTTACAAAAAACATTACTTAGATCTGAAATTATTATTATTTCTTTTTATTTATGTGGAGACAGATAACAAAAATGTTCACTATTTACATGAGAAAAGGCATAAATATCATCTAGTCATGTTTTAGTCAAACCTCAAAAATAAATTCCTTAAAAAAAAATCCAATCCAATAGTCTGATCAAGATTCAACTTTCGATCAATATAATTTAAATTGCGAGTTATCAGTACTCAGGGGAACATTTGGTTAACAGGAATAAACCTTCAGCACAAGCAGCCTTGATATGATTGGACAGTCAGCTGGTGAGACCAGCTGTGAGGACAGGAAACCTAGAACAACCTCTGAACCACTGGTCTAGGTTAGCAATGTCTCTGCCAAAACCTTGATCAGGGGAAACGGACAGCCAACCACAAGTAGATTTACATTAAAAAGTGTGAATAACATAAAAATAAGATTATTTGCTAGTAGCAGAACCTTCAACAGAATGGTCCAAGATAGAGTACTGACTAACCTCAAAGAAAAACTGATGCAGGAGTACTTTCTTTGAGAGAACAGACAATTGTTTGGATGACAACTTAAAAACTAGGAGCATACCGATGTAACTATAGCATCTGAAATATTTAGCATAGAACAAAAATATATTGAAGAGTAGACACAATGTCACATGAGCAAAGCTAAGTGAAGGAACGAGCCAGGTGTAGCTTCTCTTTAAAAGAGAAACTACACCTGTGAGTTCATAGAGTACAAATTAAAGGGACATTTTACTTCAATCTTTCAGTGACTAATGTGTGGAAAACTACCCTGGAGGAGAACCTATTATGGGAAGAAAAACAGACCTTTTTGAAAATATACTTAAAAACCGGGGACAGCTCTTTTCATAGGCTCACTCAAAAGGTTGAGCTGTTGTTTAAAGAGAAAATACATACTCTACTACTTTTCTTTAAGTTATTGCTACTGCCCAATAGTCCTCATTTCTCCACCATGAATGCAGAGCTTTGATATTTCAGCTGAGTGACTGAAAACTATTTCATGGCTATAATGAGCAGAACAGCAGATGTCTAACTTAATGTTTTATGCAGGAAGTCAAGAAGACCGCAGCAGAATCTCTTTGGACCCTCTCTTGTCTGGACACAATGAATCATTTATCATCTATAAACACTTACTCAAAAACAGATTAATAAACTAGCCTCAGAAAACTACAAAAAGGAAAAAAAAAACTGCAGTCTAGTGAGGCTAAAACAGCAGGTGGCTGACAGCAATGAGATTTATCTGGTATAATTTATTTTAAGATTCAATTAAGTGATAAATATTATTTGATTCTGGCCTACTCTGGATGATATATTGGTCACCTATGGTGACGAAGTTCCACAAAATAAGAGTTGTTTTATTCACTGCAAATGACATAATAAACTGTACGTGTGTTTAAATAAAACAAATGCTCAGAGTCTTTATCTGATGAATTAAACCCAGTTTGTAACTATTTTAAATATATTTAAAGTTTGATGAAGAGGGATGATGACGGCCATGTTGAATAAAATTCATTTATCAAAGCTGCTTATATCCTCTGATTATCCTTTTTTTTTATATCTGACTGAGCGGTAAAGTCTCTTTATTGTCTTGTTGCAGTGATGAAAATTTTAGATTAATCTTAGGAATCACACTTTTTACGCCTCAACTGAATGATTACACTCAGAGAATCAGGAGCTGATTCATTAATAATATTTTTTATGTATCATTTAGTTCTTATTAAACAAAGAAACTGACTTAACCTGACATTTAGCATGTTTGTGAGAAACTGAATATCCTGGGTATTTACATATTGACCCTATAGTTTAAGAAAAAGTTAGAAAGAGAATCACTGAACTTTAAAGGAAGGGTTTGCACATAATTAGAAGGTATCTCAATTGAATTATAGGACCCACAATATCATCGGCGTGTTATCAGCATCAGCATTTATTAGCTTTAGAACTGAATATCAGAAATCAGTGTTTTCACCAACCTAACTCAACGTATAAAAGGCGCTACTTTAGTAACAAACAAGTGAGGATTATGGGGCAACACCAATGTTTCGTTAATTACCACGATGCAGGGAGAAAAGTCAGTAAGTCTATGAGGAATAAAATGACTGCCAGGTTGTATTATGTCGGCATATTGGATATTAACTAATATTACAATATTGTGCATCCCTACAAAACTAACTCTAAAAAAATAGACTGAGCCCACAGGTGTATTAAAAGGAAGAAGGGTTTGTGTCCAAACATACCTGTCAACTTAATAGATGACTTACAGTTTTACTTCAAAGGCCTAAAATCAAAGAAGAGATTAGGTGGATTTTTGTTTTTTTACTGCGGTCAACATTCTTAATAGCTTTGCAGCAAATAAACCCCCAGTGTATATTTCAAATTAACTCATTACCTTTATAGCCAAATTTATCCAAAAGCATGAATGAGACAGAAACACAGAATAAAAGGTGGAGGAAAAAAAAGCAGGCAGCTGCATACACCAGGAGGCAAAGGGTTAAACAAGACCCCCTCGTATTTTCATGCATCTTCTGCTTTTGACAGATGAAAAATGTCAACTGTCCTGTTTGTATTTGCGAGTTTTTGCACTATTCATCTGCTTCATTAGTGCCTGCTGCTCCTAGCCCCTGACAGCTGCCGGCCCCCTGCTCTCAGAGTGAGTACACACACACCCACACACAAACACCAGCATTAAGATACATAACCACACGTACACACACACACACACACAAACAAGAAAATACACACTTGCTCCTTTTTCAGACTGTTTCGTCGCAACGGTTTAGATGATTGACTCACTCTCTGACCTCTGAGGCCCTGGTGTGTGCATGTGTGTGTATGTATCTGTATTTGTGTGTGCACAGTTCATTGATATTCGGGAAAGACACACTGCACACGCATGCCTGCTGTCTGTCTAAGGGGTGTGAACTGCTGGTGGCAGAGCACACACAGACAAGCAGCTTAGAAACCACACACACATTCGCTGCTGTATTTCAGAGTACTCCTCCCCCAATAAAACATTACTAGATTCGCTCAATTGTCACGGCTAAAACACAATCCATAACCATTAACGGAGAATAAATATATGGATGAAGCGTAAAGATCCCACTGAACTAATGGAGAAGCTCCAAATTAAAATAACAGAAAGTTCAGTATAGACCATTTTACAGGCAATGGGAAATAATCATTTCGCTATTATTTGATATTCAAAAAAAAAAAAACTGCTTTAAAACAAAGATAGTTGATCTCTCATGATAAACAAATACAAATACCGTACTAATGAAGCGGAAAACAAAATCCTTTGGTCCAACTCTAAAGAGATGTGGATCTAGAAATTAAACATATAGAGTAGAAATAATTAGG